TCAAGCAAATCCTGGGACGTCATTCTCCCCTTGTACTCAGCCTTGGTGAGGCTGCAGCTGGAGTACTGTGTGCAGTTTTGGGCTCCACAATTCAAGAAGGATGTGGAGAAGCTTGAGAGAGTCCAGAGAAGAGCCACACACATGATCAGAGGTCAGGAAAACAGACCTACGACGACAGCCTGAGAGCCATGGGGCTCTTTAGCCTGGAAAAGCGCAGGCTCAGGGGTGATCTGATGGCCACCTATAAATTTATCGGGGTGACCACCAGGATCTGGGGTAACGTTTGTTCACCAGAGCACCCAAAGGGATGACAAGGTCGAATGGTCATAAACTACTGTAAGACTGTTTCAAGCTGGACATAAAGAAGAATTTCTTTCTTGTCCGAGCCCCCAAGGTCTGGAAGAGCCTGCCATCAGAGGTGGTTCAAGCACCTACATTGAACACCTTCAGGAGCAAACTGGATGCTTATCTTGCTGGGATCCTATGACCTTAGCTGACTTCCTGCCCTTTTGGGCGGGGGGCTGGACTCGACGATCTTCCGAGGTCCCTTCCAGCCCTAATGTCTATGAAATCTTTTACTAGACCAACTACATAGTTGCAAAAAAAGTCTTTATTTGCAAGGTTTCAGGCCCAAACACCCTGCATCAGGCAAAGGAGAATTCAAAGATTTCTCCCAGGTAGAAACGAAACTTCATATTGCACAGGAGAATTAAGAAATGGTATGGTTCTCCTGGGTAGGAAAGTTAATTTGTAAAAAAGCTGCTCTGCAAGTATGCAAATTGGGCTCAAATAAAGGTTGGAGCAGGCTGTTTACTTCAGGTGTTCGATGGCATGCAGGCTGTTGAATTTTGCTTCTTTCTCGTTAAGTTGCTCATGTTGCACAAGAGAATTAAAAGTTGGGATGGTTCTTCTGGGTGGTAAAGTTCATCTGTAAAAACGGATATGCAAATTAGGCTCAAACAAATGCTGGAGCTGGTTGTTTACCTCATGGTATCCAATGGCAGGCAGGACTGGGCCTCTAGAGACATGGTAATACAAATACTGATACATTAAATACACTGTCTGAAAACCTCTTATCCAGACCTCAACACACTCTGAATATCCTGGTACCAGATGGAGATCATTTGCTGTTTAAAGTTGCACTGAAACCCTCCCTTAGTTCGTTGGATAAATGATTTATCCCCCGTCCTACTCAGATAAGCAAAGCTGCTCTATGTAGACTTTTCATTATTTCCTTTACTATTAATTATTGTGGTAGAACAATATTGTGGACAGGAAGGCCCAGCAGTTAGGTACAATTCCTTGCGTGGTCACAGATTCGCTTCTGTGACCTTGAGTGAGTGACTAGGCATAAGCTCCCTGTCCAGGGGGCTAGCAGCACTGCTGTACAGTACAGTCATGCTGTGCACTGAAATACCTTGCAGTCTGCGGCAGAGCAGAGATTAGGCCCAGAGCTCCCATGCTACAGCAGTGCCCTAACCACAAGGCCAGTGGTGCTCAACATCTGGCTTGTGAGATGAATCCGTGCCACGTCATCTAGCCCACAGGGCTCTACATGAGTCTGGAAATATGGGAGCGGTGGCAGACTCGGAGTGAATTTCTGGGCCCTGGGAGGGTTGCAGGCAGGCAGGGGAGAGAATAACAAATAAAGTAACCCTGGCACTGCAAGGGTTCAGTCATTCTCTCCTTCTCCCATTGTTCCACCTGGGTTGACTTGGTGCCCGGCTGGGACTCCCTGGAGAACAGATCAACCACACACAGAAATGCATGGAGTTGACTTGGTACCTGCACAGCTTCCTGAATTACAAGTTAGCCTGCCACAGGCATGCATTAGGTTGACTGCAGCTCCCCAGACTACAGGTCAGCCTGCCATAGGACTGTATTGGGTTGACATGATGCCCCTAATGTTACCTGGCTCTGGTATGTCTCTTATTCTAGCTGATTCCTTCATGGGTATTAGCCCACAAACTTCCCCCCACTCCAGCTTCATCCTCCATAACACCCAAGCTCTCCCCCATGTACCCACTCCTGCTTGCCTTCTCCTGAGCCCTGCCTGCTTGCCTGCCCAGTCTCATGAACCTGCAGCACCCCCTGCTTCTCTCCCACCTGCACCCATTGCCATTCATACCTGCTGCCATCCCCTGGAAAAAGCCTCTGTTCAAGACAACAGGCCAGCCTCTTACTGAAATGAATGAGCTGCACTGGGTCCTGGCTTCCCTGGGACGAAGAGAAACATTCAACTTGGAGGAATCCCCAGGGAAATACCTGGGATTGAAGTGAAGTGAATGACAAGGGAAGAAAATCAAAGCAGCACAAGTAAATGGCAGGAATAACTAGGACACTTCAATCCACCATAGAAATACATTGGGTTGACCTGGTGCCTGTCTGGGCCTCTCCTGCCATAGGGATGCACTGGGGTTCATGCACTGGGGCGCACTGGGATTTGACCAGGTGCCTGGCCAGGACTTAAAACAATTTTCTATAGGGGGAAAAAACACCATAGGCATGCACAAGTTCAGGCTAGCACACCAGATTGCACTCTTGAACTGACCCTGCATGGTGACTTCATGCTGGATCTGGCCTGTAGATCAACCCTGCTCACAAGATTCAGACCACGGACCTGCCCCATGCCACTCGTCTGGGCCACAGGGCCAGAAGACTGAGCTCCACTCCACAAGCCCATTCTTCTGCCCCCTTCAATTTCTTTCAATGGGACTATTTGGAGCACTTCATACTAAACATGTTTGTACATCTTTGCAGGATCAGGCTCAGGTGAATAAAGTGACAGAGAGCTGGAAGAGGGGAGGACCAGGCCACAGCAGAGACGGGTGCATCCCCACAAGTTCATAGTGCCAGTGGTCTGTTATCCCTAGACATTACCAGGCTAATCAATGCTCAGTTGTGCTCATTCGTATAATAGTAATAATAAATCAGAATAATAAATTATAATGGTGGCTTCAGTGGTGGCCCTTTTTCCCACCAAGTTAACCCTCCCTGAGTACGCCACTCCTTTCTGGGTTCAGTGCTGATCAAGATCTTGTGCTCTTTGCAGTTGGCTGTTGCATCTTTGCCTTCCTGGTGGGCCTCATCTTCGTGCAGCGCTCAGGGAACTACTTTGTCACCATGTTTGATGACTACTCTGCCACACTCCCACTCACTGTTGTGGTAATCCTGGAGAATATTGCTGTGGCTTGGATTTACGGCACCAAAAAGTAAGAATGTGGGCATGGGAGATAACGGCTCAGACCTCTCTTACTGTCTTACTCCAGCTCTGGATTCAGGTTCAGTCCCAGAAAGCAACACTGCCCACTTCTGTGGAAAACAGCTCACCTGGACTCAAACCTGACTGAAGAGTCTGAAATGTCCAGTTAAGCTGGTCTCCAATGGTTCTTGTTTCACTTCACTTGAGGATGTGAGGAGGGTCTAGAGCCAGGAGCGTCACCATCCCAAGATGGTTGTTTTTGCAGGCTGCATGGAACAAAATGAGGCCCAGTAGTTGCTTAGCTGTTACTTCCTTGCATGAAATCCCAGAGCCAGCTCTACAGCCTCCAGAGGTTCAGAGTGTAGACAACCATTGGCCTATTTCTCTGAACCTAAGCTGAACTCTGGCCTTTCTTAGGGTCATCCCCCAGACCACGTCTACACGTGCACTTTAATGCATATTAGCTTATTTTAAATGTGCATTAAAGCATCACTAAAAAAATTGTGCTATTTAGTTAATGCACATTAAAATAGGCTAATGTGTATTAAGCATCACTTAAAAACTGTGCTCTTTAATTAATGTGCATTAAGACAGGTTAATGCACATTTTCTTAATACCTCACAATGGAGGGCATTTATACACATACATTTTCATGCTGTGATGTGCCGGAGATCCAGTACATTTGAGTAGACTTGATTAATCGAGTCTGCTCCGCACACGAGCTGACGTGCACTGTGCTGCATCATGTGCAGTTGTATAAGCAGCAAAATGTACATCAGCATGCAGAATATGGCGGCAGCACGCTTTTGAACTAAAACGCCTTCAATATGTTTTCGTTCAGAAGTGCACTGCCACCATTTTCTCAGTGCTGACGCTCATTTTGCTGTTTATACAAATGCCTGCACTGTGGCACAAGCATGTGTACAAATGCCTGGAGGTACTAGATTTAATGCACATTAACTAAAGTGCATTTAATGTATGTGTAGATGGGTTGAGGTGACTTCTTTAGGAGCTTTCCACCTGACACAGGGGAAGAAAGAGGGCAGGATTCTTGTGTTTCACCCATTGGGGTTCCCTTGCTTTCCTATCCAGGTTCATGCAGGAGCTGACGGAGATGCTGGGCTTCCGCCCATCCCAGTTCTACTACTACACCTGGAAATACATCTCTCCTATCTGCATGGCTGTGCTCATGACTGCCAGCATCATCCAGCTGGGAGTCAACCCTCCAGGATACAGTGCTTGGATCAAAGAAGAGGTAAGTACAGGAACCTCCCCTCTGTCCTCTTTTTGAGACCCCTTTATTTAAGCTTTTGCTTACCTTCCCCAATGACTTGTCTACCTCAGTAAGGAGTAGGTAAAAACTGAGTGAGGGACTTCAAGGTTTAGTTCCCAGCTGAGTTTTCTCAGCCTCCTTGGTGATGGGCAGTTGACCAGCTGGCTCCATCTTGGAATCACTTTTCTCTTGGTGTGCTTACCAGTTGGTGGCAGGTGACAGGTAAGAGGCAACCAGAGTCTGGGAAGATCTTCCTCGGCAAATGCAGCAAATAAGCAGACTACCATAGGTGGATTGTTCTTCTGCCTTCCATCCTATCCCTCTCTAGACCACATATTTTGCAATAGTAAATGATGCCACTGTAAATGCAATACGAATGAAAATTAAAAACTCAAATACCAAATCAGAAAGACTGCTGGTAAACTCTGGTAAATCCTCAAACTTGTGTGTGGTTGCATAAATCTACATTCAGACTGCGGGCCCTAGCACCACTGGCCCACTATGCAATCCAAGTGTACCCAGAAGTGTCAATCCTAGCCTTCAGATCAGTCCTACAGTTGGAGGTGGGGTCCAGATTCTGATTTTGGTTACATCAGTGAATTTTGTAGTGTGTATCTGACATCAGTCATTAGACCTGCCCTGGATTTGCTCCAGAGGTACACTGGTGTAGCTACGGTCAGCACATGACCACAGGATTTAAGTATCTTCTTTAAATACTTATTTCTTGTTTTGGAGCTTGCTCTCTCCTCTTGCTGGAAGGTTTCTCATTGCTGGAATCTCATGTCTTAAGTTCTTCCTGTGGTAATGCTAACCTGGAGGGTGTGAAATCTCCCTGCTCTCCCTTTTGGAAGAAAAGTCTTGCCCCTTCTCAGGGGTACAAGATATGGGAGGTAGATGCTTATGTCCCCTCCTTATATGACACTGCCCCCTTCTCTTACAGGCTTCAGAGAAGTTCCTCTATTACCCAACATGGGCTATGGCCATCCTTGTCTCTCTGATCATCCTGGCTACTCTCCCGCTGCCAGTGGTCTTCATCCTTCGCCAGTTCCACCTCGTGTCGGATGGCTCGAATACCCTTTCTGTCACCTACAAAAAGGGCCGGATGATGAAGGACATTTCCAACTTGGAAGACAACGATGAGACCCGCTTCATTTTGAGCAAAGTGCCCAGTGAGACCCCCTCCCCAATGCCCACACACCGGTCCTACCTGGGCCCAGGGAGCTCTTCCCCGATGGAGATGAACAGTACACCTAACGGACGCTATGGAAGCGGGTACCACTTGGCCAGCACTCCTGAATCTGAACTGTAATGACCACCCACCACCCTCCCAAACAGAGCCCTGGAGAGGAGGTCCCCAGGACCTGATCCTGACCCCGAGGGCACCGATAAAAGAAACCCATCTTAGAATTTTAACCAGTAAGCAGCCATTTCCAGGGATGACATCATAAAGGGATTGTGGGAGGGAGCGGGACTTCCCTCCTGGCAACCTCCAGTCAAACAGCAGGATGCCTTCCCAGCTGCCCTTGTGAATAGAAAAGAAAATGAAACAAGACACTGCAATAAAGAACATTTTATAGGGATGTTCCTACAGAGATGCCTCCTGGAACAAGTCAAGAATCTCTTTATTTCCAAGCACCTGACAGTTGGAAAAGGGACACACAATAAGGTGACAGCCAAAGAAGTTTCCTCTTCTAGCCTGGATCTGTTTCCCCTCTGTTTATTTTCCTTTAGGTAGGAGACGTGACAGCCTTATTCCAGTGAGCACACCTAGCCATCAATGTTCATACCACGATGAAGAGCCAGTTCCCTCCAGGTTTGTGTTGCTGTTGTGTCTCCTGTGCTTTAATAGCTTTGGAGATGCCCAAAGCCTAGCATCTGTGGACATTTCTTACCATGCAGGACTAAGGTGTATCTCAAGTGGGCAAAAATGCTTTGTAGCCAGTGGCAGAGCCTGGCTAATCTTTGGGTGTCTTCTTCTTTGATGCCAGTACAACATAATGGGATTGTGTCAATGAATAACTTTGAGATGAGGAGATCCCCTTCTGGATGAAGCTTTAAGTTAGCATGCCCATTTACAATGCAGTGTTACTCTTCCAAATGGCAAAAGCAGCACAAGACCTCAGATGGATTCAGGTGTTGTGAGAGCATGTGCCATGTGTGCAGGCCAGAATCTGAACAGAGTTACCACAGAGTAGATCTAGAGTGATCTCCTGGGAAATTGCAGGGTTCACATTGGATTCGCTCCTGATATGCAGCATATAACTGTGTGCAGGTTCCAGCCCCAAGATTTTTATTTTCAATGCACTGTGTGAAAGAGAGCACTGGGAGAGTGGTGAATAGCTTCCCCTTGCCAGACTGGCCGGATGCTCTGCAGGGACAGGTAGCAAAACTGGGGCTATTGGACTCCTGGTTTAGCTGTCAGGAACTAGATCTTATCATTTGCCCTCGTCCTTGGTGTTAGCTGGATATAACTGAGGGCTGAAGGTGACCATGTGCACCCAGCATCTATTTACAAGGCCCAGGTATCCTCAGCCAAGGGTCCAAATTCCTCCCTGGTATGTTCCCATAGACATCAGTGCCCTTATGCCAGGGGTGTATTTGGTTCTGGGGGCCATGCCTTGTTTCAGGAAGATGGAGCTTGGCATCACATGTTGTGGAGTCTCCTTTCAGTTAACACTAGATTTTCACAGCTCTAATTGGCTTCTGTGCCTGACCAGTGGGTCTCTTGTTTGACCCAGTCCTGTCACAACCATCCATGGGTTTTGGGAGCTGTATGAGAGAGTTATGCTGGGTACTCCCAGCTCCATCTAAGAGGTTAGGACCTGGTCCAGGTAGAGGGAGGGAGCATCACTACCCCACATCCATTTGTGAGTGTCTAGAGGAGCCGTGAGTGTGACAGATCCTGCTTCTTATGTCCCTCTGGGGCAGGGGAAGAAGTTGTCATCTCACATATTGCTACAATCTGAGCAACTCGCTGAGACCTTGCTCTTGCACTTAAAGCCAATGCCATAGACTCTCATCCCGGGGTCCAGGCCACTGATCTTATTTTGACCTTGCAGAGGCTGAGAGGCTGTATCCTCTCTCTGCTTCTCCTTTCCCCTGTCCCATCTCTCTTGGTTAAATACAGGCAGGCTAAAGACTGGTAAAAATCTCTTGAGCCTTTTGTTGTGCTATTGGTTTCCATGAGCAGCCTTTTCTCTTTCTGTCTCCATCTCTGCAGCTTCCCTTATGCAGCCAGCAAAGTTTTACATACCATATTTTACTGGCATATCACATGCACCTTTCCCCAAAAAATTAGCCTTCCAAAATTGGGGTGCATGTCTTGAGTGGGGAAGCTGATTTTCTGCCCCACATAGAAGCACCTTGCTTTGATTCTGTGTCCACCCAAAGTTTAAAAGCAACTTCCCAGCAGCAGCAGTGCCATTTCTATTGAGGCAGCCAAGGGAGGCTGTTGACTTAATGGTTCCCTGCTCTTTACTCCACAGGTGCTAATGACTGCCTCTTCTTTGCAATAGACTTGATTTTCTACTAATCAAGCTAACTTTTGTTCTGGCAATTTTGCTGTCTGCTAGCTGCTCCTGGTCTCTCGTGTCCTATTTCACAGCCCTACAGACTGTTTTACCTCCTTTCAAATTTGTAGATCTGCCCATTGAGACCAGTCTTTAGCAGCAGCTACTGTTTCATCTTCCCGCTGAGTAGGAAAGGGAAGGTGAGTGAGCTGAAGATTAGGCTTCTCATCTGCTCTGTGTGGCCATAACTCTAGCATTTTTTCCCTTCCTTCTGCCTCCCGACCAAAAAAGATGTATGTCTTTATTTGGGGGCATGTGATATGTAAGAAAATACAGTAACCCCTCTTTTCTCCTTCTGCTGCATCTGCTAACTGAGATTTCTGTAAGTACTTTAACTCAGGCCCTCAGTAGCCATTTCACAGATAGGCAAAATGAGGCACAGACTTGGCAAAGGGTGCCATGTGAACCACTGGGAAGAGAACTGTGGCATCTGGGTCCCAACCATTGTCTGTGAACAGCAGGTCTCCATGCCTCAGCCATTGAAGGCCTTTCATGTGAGGTCACAGCATCCAGAAGGAAGGGTCCCACTCTTAAAATGTTTCTGAGTTAAATTCAGTGATGTCATGCTTTAATGTCTTTGCCTCAATTTGGAATGCAATACTTCTGCAAGAATGAGTGGTGACAAACCCAATAGCCTCTCTTCTTCCACTCTTACCTGTGCCCACCATTTGTGATAGCCTTTTCAATCCCATTTTTAGTGGAAGTCTAGCCAGTTGGCTGCAGTGGGCAGCTGCTTACAGCAGAGCTGAATGTAGGCTGCCCGGTGTGGCATGTGGACCAATTCTGATCTGAGACTGATTCAATCCTGGCTACACTTCACAGATGCCAGGGAGATGCTCCTGCTCAGCATGGGTATAGACAAGTTCTGCACTGGATTCAGTGAGCCTGGGCCCCTGCCATGTTTCTCTGTTGACTTCAACTGAGTTATTCCAGTTGATGCCAGCTGAGGAGCTGACCCCAGGAGCCTGAGCCATGTTCACTTTGCATATGCGGATGGCCAAGTTGGTGCTAGTTGCCCAGTTTTGCCAGGTATAGCCTAAGTTGGTTCTTCATCACTCTGGTGATGATTTTTCCCTCACTCATCCAAGTGTCAGTGAGGAGCAACTCTGCTATAATCACTACCCTGGTCTGGTGTGGTCAAAGGAAATCGGGGTCCGTGATCTGATCTGTAAAACTGAGCTAATGATTCACTCCTCCTCTGTAAGGCATTTTGAGGCTTTCTGCTGAAAAGTGCTTATATAATGAAGTGTTATCTAGCAAAGCAGCATTTGAACTCCAGGTGGAGCAGACTGCTTTGTGGTTTCATGGGAGCATCAGTGCTTTGCACCAGCTGGGCTCTGTTCCCTATTCTGCTATTGTTTATACTGGGAACATCCCATGGCCTTACCCTGTTATCCCCGCGTGATGCAAAGGAGAGGCAGGGGTAGAACTGGGCCAATCACACAAAGAAACCTGAATGGATCCTGGGCCTTGATTGATTTGTAAATGACTTTTCTGATCCCAATACTTTGGGCAAGAGGAAGTGTTGTGGAAGGAAGCAGAGCCACGGAATGTCTGAGAGGGTTGGAGAGAGCAGGGCAGTGTCGCTGGTTGTGCAGTGGAGGCCTGTCTGCCTCCGGCCACCTTGGGAGCTGTGCAGACAGCTTCTGGGGGGAGAGTGAGGCACGTGCAGCCAGGGTCAAATCTGTTCTTCTTTTTCTCTAGTCTCCCCCCATCTCCCTGCCCATCTTCTCCTTCTGTTTCCATCTGCTTGTGCTTTTCTTCCCCTCTCTACACAAGAGCAGAGGAGTCACTCCACACCATTACACCATGTGTCCACCTGGACCAGTCTCCCCTCTTCCAGAGTGGCCCGCACCAGCTGTTTCCAAGGGGGAAGGAGGGATGTAAGGTATCTCCTCATGGTCAATCATGAAATAACCTGCCCATATCAGGAATTAGCAAGGCTTTCCCTTATTTCTAATTCTGTCCATCTGTCTCTCTTTTCCCCTAGTGGGCCTTTCTCTCTCTGTGGACCCCATCATGGGGTTCCAGGCCAAGCAAGCCAGGAGTTATCACAGAAGCACAAACTTGAAGTCCAACATAGATGTCCCAGTGTGGGTCTGCATATCTGCTAGGGCAGGTCCCCAGTTGATGTAAAATCACATAATTCTAGATGCTTTGATGGGGGTTATACTCATTTATTCCAGTTGGGGATCTAGCCCATAATCTCTTGAACCATGTTTTTGAGCCAGCAGTGAGTCTTTTCATTTCCCCCTCCTTCTCTTGATAGTTTGGAAGCAACGGTGATAGACAAGTGAAGAAAAGCTATATTATATATATATAGAATAATAATCTATAGATTCTATTTCTATTGTATATTTACTCTGTAAATATTGGTGTAAATTCTGTTAAATGACAAACATATTCAAAAGTGACCCGTGAACTATTTTCATTCTCAGTGCTGTACAGATCTATTTTCATTGTATATTTGATATATTTATAATTTTACTTTATTTTTTTTAGTGTGTGATTGGTGACTGCCCCCCTGCCAAGCCGCTCCCAGGAGTGGGGCTACAAGGGGGCCGCTGCCTTCATTTAATCTGTGGAAGTTCAGTATTGCTTTGTGACATTTGCTAGGTATTAGGTTCCAGGGTGGGATTTAAGTGTTAGGTGCTGTTTGCAGTCTGTGTGTACGTGCGTGCGTGCATTAGGGTTAGTACATGCTACGTGTGTTTGTATGTGTTTTGTTAGGACTGACTTTTGCTGTTCTTCAGTCACTTCAGGGTCTCTCTTTAGTTTCTGTTGGCCACCAATGCATTCAATTATATAGCAGTGAATGTGGCTGGGGGAGGATTCACAAAACTTGTCTGATAGCTGTTCCCTCTGTCGGGCAGGGAGAGGGTTAATGCTAATCCACTGCAGGGTTTTATGCTGCCAGTCACTTCTGTTGATCTCTCATAGACATGAGGAGGAGCCAATGTTACAGTCACACGCACCTTCTTTCTTTGTAATTACAAAATAACGATGTCACTGTACCTGCCACCCTTGGGGCTCCTGGTTCATCCCCACCCTGACTTGCATTGTTGGGAAGCTTCGGTGTCCTTGATTTTTATCGCAAGCAGCTGCTGAATAGACCAGTAGGAGAGACAGCAATGTGACACATTAACCACTGTTGTTAGCTAGGCTGAAACGCTCTAGAATTAGCACTGTGGGATGGAGCCATTATTGAGGATCAAGGACCAATATGGGTTATTCTCAAAAGATTCCCCCATCTCTCTTTGTGGGAGCCCTTAGCTGCTACTTCACCAGCCTGCTTCAGTGAGGCTGGTTTATTATAGCACAGGATGCAAACTAAGCAAGCACAACAGCCAGAAGGAAGCGCTGCCTTTCCAAGTCCTGTCCAGAGACATGGCCCAGCTTGGGGCCACACAGCAGTGTCCCTGCTTGCACTCACATCCCCTGGGTGCTGCATGAAGTCTCCGCCCAGCCCTGGGAGCAAAGCCAGATGAATGAGTGCATTTCATAGGTCCCGGGCCATCAGTCTGCCTTAAGACTGAAAAAACAAAAGGACAGCACACGTCCCTGCCCCAGTGCAGACAGATCATGCTCAGGGACCTGGAACGGCAGCCCAAGCCAGGAGGCAGTGTTAGGGAAAGGCTTCAGTGAAGACCACAGAGGCCTTGCTTAGCAAGCACTGCAAGCTTAACTCGGCCTTCTCCTTGTGCACTGCAGCGGGCTTGGACAGTTTTATTCATCACACACGAGCCCTTAGATCAACCTGGGTGCAGGGGAAGGGGCAGCTGTAGCAGGTTGCTTCTGCCATAGTACACAAGGTCCCGGCCCACAGATGCAGACACCCTATGGTTTTGCTGTTGCTCAGGACTGGATGCTTTGCACAGCTCATCTATAGGGGTGGAATCAGAGGTCTCTGGCCTAAAAGCATCCATCTGTACTGCATAAGGTAGAAGGCCAGTAGAAGCAGAACTGTGAGCAGGGGCTCATAGGGTGAGTTTAACTGTCTTGAGGTATGCTCAGGATCTGAATCCAGATCCCTGGACCACACCTGCAGCTGGTGGGAAGCAGTGTGGCTGCACTGAGTACACTGGCTTATACCCCCTAAAGATCTCCCCCCCCCCCATTTTTATGGGGCATGGAGGTAATGCTCCATGCCCACCTTGATCTAAGCCAGGGCTGTTTGACTTTTGGGTGGCGGAGGGCTGCACGCTGTATAGGTCCCCTAGGAGTCCCTGCCATTGCCCCCCCCACCAAGCCCCTTGGGGGCTTGCCTGCTTCCTGGGCCATGCTGCCCGGGGGGCAGGGAGCAGAAGCTTGAGGGGGAGAGGGAGCCTGGAGACTCCAGCAGCAGCAGAGCGGTGTGGGGACCAGCACCTGGACCAGGACCCCCTGGGCCTCAAGTGAACCCCTCTCCTGCAGCCTGTGGGCTGTGAGTTGGACAGATCTGATCCAAGCCATCGCAGACTGGAGGAAGGGGAAGCTCAAATCCAAGCCTCAGGTTTCAGTGGGGGCCAATCCAGATCAGGGAGTTTTGGCAACTTGCATTGGAAAGAGGCTTGGCTTTTCCTCCTCGTTTCACTGCATAAACTGTTGGCAGGACATGGTTCCATAGTAATCTCATTATGCAGTTGGCTCGCTGTGCGGTGGGTAATGGCTTCCAGCAATACATTCCCTTGGACAATGCTTTTAGTAACATGCTATAGATAAACACTGTTTTTGTCGATGCCTGTAAATGACTTAATATGTGGTGTGGAGTCCTCTGGAGATGGCGCAACCTGGATGCCATCCCTGGCTGAGGATGGGAAGAGCCAGCCTCCACGTCGCCCCTTAACGGCCTCGTGCAGTATTACTAAGTAGAGTCAGCCTCTGGTCCATTAGCAGGAAAGGACCTGGCGGGTATCTGGTGAGTCAGCTTGGCTCTTGGCTGAGCCTGCAGGCTCCTGTTTTGCTTGGGTCATTTATCCTGGTGCTGAATCGCGCTGTCCGGTGGAGTTTGCTCTTTGGATGTTATCTCTGCACCCCCCTGCATTTTATACTGCCTGGGGGAGCATTGTCAGCATCAGCAGAGATGCCCTCAGCAGACGTGGTGAGATGGACAGCCCAGGAGAGTCCTCGGGAAGGACCACTGGGGCTGTCTAGCTCACCCGTGCAGAGGTGAGATATCTGCCACCCTGGCAGTCTGAGCTACTTCTCTGGTTGGAGACTTCCTGCTCTGCTCCTTGTTCAGTTCGGTGAGATTCAGGGAGAGGCCATTGGAACAACGTGCCATGGGTGCTGTTGCACAGCCAGCAGTCACTGCGCCGGGCACCTGATGCAAAGGCCTGATCTGAAGACGAGGGGTGTCTTTGGGAGTCTTTCCATTGACGACCACAAGCTGCTGTGGCTCATTTCTAAGCGCAGCACCTCCCTAAAGGAGAGGAGATGCTGCGGTACTGTGGGGTGATGCCCACAGAGGTTTGAATGGTGATTAATGCTCATCCTTCTCTGAGCCACATTTGGGGACCTGGGAAAGTCAAGACAAAGACTCCCATTGACTTCTGAGGACTTTAGATCAGGCCACAAAGGAGCAGAAACAAGGACCAGGACTAGGGAAGGAAGCAGACTCCATCTTTGCCTCGGGTGCCAGGGCTCTGAGGGCAAACCCTGAGGAGCAAGGCCTTTGTGCCAGGGCTCGTGGCATGAGCGGGAGCAGAAAACTAATACCCGCTGTGGGTGTGGTATGTGGTGGGAGCAGCCCCACTAGAACGCAATGATCGGGGAAGCACATATCTGATGAAACCCTCCTGTACAGGTCAAAGCACAGCACTTGTAGTAGCTTGTCTGTGTATCACATAGCCAGTGTATTTATGATGTGCACCCTGTGCCGGCAGGACAGTTCGGCAGTGTGAAAGAACTACTGTAACAACGTCCAATTAAAAGTTTCTTCTTACCAAGCATCGCTTCCCCAGTTTCCTTTCTTGTGACCTGCATCCAAGTTGCTCGAGGCTTCTGGAGACATGAAGGTGAAGCCAAACCCAGGGCAGCGCACGCAAGAAACATGTACACTCATGGCGGATGGGAGGACCTGGCATGCAGGGATGGGCCTGGGAGCTGCTGAATAGAGAGTACGGCCAAAATCTGGGTATATCCTTCCACCTGGGTATCTTTCTTCTTTCCAGCTGGCTTGCCCTTCTTTCTACTGTACTTTTGTGCAGCACTTAGCACTACAGGGCCAGTGCCTTCAGGCATGGCTGCAGCACCATAACTGCTTTTAATAAAAATATCAAGTAGCTGATGTGCCCTGATGCTCTTGTGGGGTCTGTCACATTCCCTCTCTCCAGCAAGCTCTCGCCATATGTCCCCTGGATCCTCCTCAGTGTCACCACATGTTCCCATCTTTGTACTGTTGGCTGCATCCCTTCTACTGTCTTTGTCGCCATATGTTCCTCTCTCTCAGAAGTGTTCACACTGCCTATGTTGCCACGGTTTCCAAGCACTATTTGGGTGCCAAGACGGAGTAGGGGTAAGAACGAGACCACCCTGACTTCACGCTGGGATTATGCTAATCGGGACCTGGGTCTACAGCATGGTCTCATGTGAAAGATCTCCACATATTTTGTGCCTTAGGCACGGCCCTGACCCTGGGTCTACTGCCGTTCCCCAAAGGGGAGCAATAGGGGGTGCCCCTTGGAGCTTCCTCTTCTGTGCCCCTGTGTTCAGAGGGAGAATCATACATGGCACCTTGAATGTGGGGTACAGCGTCATTCCCCTTGTGTGTCCAGTGTGGCTGGCTGATATGTAGGGCAGACGGAGCCAGGGCTCACCTAGGCCCTGCTCACTTGCTCCAAGTGGGGACAATGTCTCCAACACAAGGACAGGAAGAATCCTTGCTCCTGTTGCTGCCTATGATGGGGTCAGAGCCCACGGGGTGCAATGTTTGCTGCTGAAAGATGCTGTCATGCCTGCCCCCCATGGGGGTGGGGAGGGTTGCGGTTGGGGTCCTGATGCTGGAGCTGGGATCCCGTTCCCTCCAGCCTGCATCCACGTCTCCACCCTAGCAGTGCCGTTGCTGTAGAAATGTGCCGATCCAATAATCCATGTAAAGAGGAAAACAAAGCTGCAGCTTTTGAGCTCGCTCCTATGTTATTAAAGCCCAGAGGGCCTCAGTGTATTCAGACAGAGGGTGTGACCATAACTGCTGCATTTGGAGTTACACCAGAGCTGCAAGGAGCCCAGGAGTGAGTGTCGGCAGGCGCAACACAGATCTCATTGCATTAAGAGCTAAAGGGGCAGCAGGAAGACTCCCAGGCATGCATACCTCCTGGCACCTCAGCTGCTGTGGAAGGGGGGACTGGGATCTGCACAGGGGAGGTGGCAGGTGAGGGACTGGCATCCCCTATCCCAAATTCAGCTGGGAAGTTGGTGAAGTTTCCACTTCATCTCGCCCTTCCCTGCGCCCTCTGCCAACTTCTGAACCCAGGCAGGTGACTTTGGAGGCCAGCAAGAGGTGGCAACAGGGCTCTTGCAGCTACAGGGCTTCCCTTGAGGGTTATCCCTGACCTCCTGCAGAAGGCTGGGACAGGCGTGTTGCCACCAGTTCTCATTTGGGGGAGCAAAGCATCATAGGATGCCCTGAGATCCTTCCAAGGGTGTTGCAGATTGCCTGACAATATTAGCACCTTTAGGTACATAGCAGTTGGGATTCACAAGTTAAACCCAAAGATTTCAAATGGAAACCTAGGGTATTAAAAACATTCTGCATTGCTGTGGTCTTTCTGAGTCCTTTGCTACACAAGAAGTACTCTATTATTTTTCCATAATCAAAAAACAAATGGAAGTTAAGAGCTGGCATGCCTCGAATCTAACTAGGGGTGCCTTGAATCTAATGAGAGGATGCCTCAAGTCTGAAAAGGTTGAGAACCACTGACAGATGGAGGTGACATTAGTTTAAATAATTTGCAGCTACTAGGGGAGCACTTGCCCTCCAACCATGCAAACACTTTGAACAAGTTCTCAGTGGAAAGTGATGTACAAATGTTCAATACTTCCGTAAATGTAATGAGCTGCGCTGACTGTTACCACCCCAGGAGGCAGAGTGACACAGAGACACCTTCCCTGGCTTCCTTCATGAAGTGGTAACCACTGCTGCCTGGCACCAGGAGCACACTGAAAGCCCCCTCGGTGCTGGTGTCCCTGGCTTGGCTACTGGAAGGGAAGGGGTAAAGCCTCACCTGTAAGCCAGGGGGTAGTTTGCTATCCGGTGCATCACATCACACTACCAGCAGGATGTCAGTCCATTGACTTCTTGTTGCCGTGGTCATGCCTGGGGGTGTCTACCATGTACCCCTTGAATGAACTGATTTGCTCCCTTGCAGGTCTCTTCCCACACTGAGCTGCTTGTTGGTTTTTTATTGAGGACCTGGTGATTGTCAACCTAGTCCCCATTTCATACTTATCTCCTGGGAGGCAGCTAATTAGCCATAACTGGGTGGTTTAGGAACGGCAAGTCCTGCCTCTCTGCAGAGGGTTGCACAAGATGACCCTGGAGGGTTCTTCCATCCCTAAGCCTGTCCCTTTTAATGGGTCATCACACCCAGTGACACCACCCATGCTATTGCCCACTGATATCAGGGCCAATGTAAGCCTCTGACCCAAGGTTGGGGGTGTTGGCAGTCTCCAGCATTGGGTGTTGTCTGAGCTACCACCTAGCTTAAAGCAATCGTTTTAGCACAAGGCCTGTAAAATCAAAATCCCTCAGGCCAAGAACGAGGCTTTCACAACCATCTCTGCTTGTGCCCAGGACATCACGCTCTCCCTTTTGGTTTCGTCCTTCCAGCAGCAAGGGCCTCGAGAGCTGTAATTAAGCAAGGAGATAAAGGCGCGTGTAGTGGAAAGGGCTGGGAGAGGTTCCATTAGTGGCGGCTGGATCTGAAAGGGACTGATAAAGGGGAGAAATTAAATTAGCAGAGCAGGGAGAGGAGCTCTGGTTGTGGCAAGGTTTAAAATCTCTCAGCACCCTACATGGGTTCGGCCGACACAGACGCTTCACAGAGGCTTATCTGCATTACAGCAACGCCTGATAGGGAGCCCTATGGGCAGGGATGCGGTGAGAGACGGCTGTTTCCCCACAGAGCTGCCAATCCAGCCAGGCAGAAGGGCTTAATATTGTTACCAAACAGCTGGGGGAAAGGGGCTAGGGCGATGAAGTGCCTTGCCCATGGTCACACAAGAAGGCTGCGGCACAAATCGTCTAGGCCTGGTCCATCAGCTTAACTATAAAGCTGTGCTTCTTCACTGCTGTTCTGGGGACTGCAGGGCCTCTGGAGAGTACCTTGAAGTATTTACCCAACTCCCTGTTTGTGTGGGTCCTGTGCATGCCACTTGCTATTGGACTTTTTGCACATCTTCCTGTCGTGGATCTGTCCTGGCTTTGAGGCCGGAGAGCTTGTGCACACCCAGTTCCTTACCCAGAGGGGCCCTTTGCACAGATCTTTACCCTTCCCTGTGCCACCAGCAGCTCTGGATCCACAAAGGGCTGCCCATCTGTCATTCCCTGTAGGGACAGGCTCAGGTGAAGCCAGTGTGATGAGGGCAGATCAGAGCCCTGGGCCCTGCCAGTGCCAATCAGGGGATCAGGGCAGTCCTTCCCCTGAGACTTCAGGGAAACAGATGCCACCTGCAGCAAGCCCAGGTCTGTGCTAGGGTCCAGATGGTCCTAATGAGGCAACAAGGGCACCCAGTACCCTGAGGGCTGCACCTGCTTCAGCCTTTAAAAGCTAGGCTCAGCCAGCAGTCATTTGTCTGGGCAGTTTTAGATGTTTGCTTCTGTCCTTGCTGTTTTCCTGCTTCTCCTGTTGGCTCTCTGGCTTCAGTTCTGCTCACGCTGACTTGGCTCTGGCTCTGGATGCTCGTTCCTGGCTCAAGCTCTGTTGACTTCTGGATCCCTGACTGCCCATGTTGGCCCCTGGATCTTCTGGATTCCTTCAGTTAGCTTCTGGGTCCCTGACTGCCTGTGCCATTGTCCCTAACAGCCAGCACTTAGCATCTCTCAGGATCTTTGCTCTTTGGACTTTGGTAGGTGAGTGAATAGCAAATACCCAAGTATGCTGTAAGGCTTAGGGATTCCCAGGAAAAGAAGAAAAGTGCTATTGTATTGGCTGGTCCATGTGCAGGATATGTCTCCTACTGCTGCTACTAACCAGTAGGTTTACCTCTTAGATGAGGTAGCGGAGGCTGCTGCACTGGAGTGTCCCCTGGCTGGTGACTCAAGGTGTCATCCAGATGACAGGGCAAGGCTTTCCCCAGCAGAAGCTCTTCGAGGCAAAAGACTTTCAGGCCCTTGCAAACCCACCGGAGAGCAATGCGTCCCCACCCAACTCTGCATCGGGGAAGTATAATCCTTCTTCTGCAGCTGACGCCAAGCCCTCTGCCTGGCTGCCCACCATTCCCAGCCATGCCATGCTGTGACACACCCTCACAGCACAGTCCCCAGCACCTCCCAAGCAAATTGGGGCAGAAGGGCCCTCGCTATGGTGACTCTTCCAGGCACACCAGTCTCCTCTGCCTTTACGCCTCTCATCCAGGCTCCCCCTCCACAGTTCACACTTCACTCATCTCCTTCCCATCACCCTTTCATGTCCTTCACCTCCCCATCTTTTTTCTTCTCCTTCTTCCAGTCATGGCCTGGCATGGAGATCTGGGGTCTATTCCTTGTGCTGTGGCCCTTCTTTTCTTTGCACATTGTCTAATTAGGTGGGAAATTCTTCATAGCTTCTTCCTCTGGGTTTGTCCAACAGTGTCTCATGTAAGTGGGACCTCTGTGAGGCAGACAATAAAGCCATGCTCCTGTTTCAGTCCTTTACTGGGCTGTTATAAAGGGGTGCTGTTATGGATGGACTCTGCCCCAGCCAATTGATGTGGGTTGGGGGCCACACAAGACTGACAGGAGTCAGTA